AAAAAAAAAAAAAAAACACATCATAGTAAAACCAATACCTTCTCAGCTTCGCATCGAAGCTAATATGTATGATCAGTAAACTTAAAACTGAAAATTATTAATTTAAATTCATAATTTTTTATATTAATAATAAAGATTAATAATAAAATAGTAAAATAATTTTTAACAAAATTTAAATTAGATTCTCTATTACAAAATTTTAAAACTATAAAAATCTAATTAAATAAATTAAATTGTTAAAAATTTATCAGTAAAAAATGATAATGAAATAAGTTAGTTTAATAATTATTAGATATACCTGATTTGCTAGATATTAACGGTAAACCAAACAAATGTTGATTAATTATTCGTGTGGCATTTGTAAGTGATTTTGACGACAAGCCAAATGAAGGTCTCCTTTTTTTTACACTCTCTAGACTTTCCTGAGATGCCCTAGTAAATGGCTGATCCCCAATGTTTGATTGCTAAAATGCATATTTTTATATTTTGAATGTATACATACATAAAATAACAGTTACGAGTGAATGGTAATGAAGGATTTCAAAAAATATGTCCACAGAAATAGTTTTTTGTTTATTTACTGATACTGATTAAATAAAAGTATATATAATAATGAATATTTTGTTAACTAAGAGTTCTTTATTATGAATAATTGATTTTTCAGAAATGAAACCTTTCAAGGCCAGTCCAAGTTGAACATTTTTTGTATTACACAATAATTAAAATTTTATCGTTGTAATATAAAGTTGCAATGTGACTAAATTTTACATTTAAATTTAATGTTGTATAGTTATTTTACTCCTAGTGTATAAAAACATTTTGTTCATTTATTATTCACCACTGTCTTATCAAAGACCATTGTTAGAATAGTTTATTATAGATACATGTTTTGACAATTTGGAGTATTTAGTTAGCTACATTAACATTAATCAGTATTCTTACTTGTAAAAATCTTGTTTTTCTACGTTTTACAGATTCATTTAAGCTACCCCGACTTCCAGAAACTGAACGGCGGTAACTAAATTCTTTGGATTCGTCCATAGGCGATGTCCCTAAGCTACGAGGCGTTTCTTTACAATCAGTGGTTTCTAGAGGATTCACATAGAGGTTCGAACTGTCGTTGTTGATTGTTGGATGTTCACTCGCTTGCTTTTGCAGTTTATGGTGCAAATGTGTACATTGTGGTTGCTGTTGTGGCTGTGCTTGTTGAGATCCCACAACATGATGCTCAAACACAGTATCATGCAAATCTTCTGCAGTTAAATCACCTTGGGAATGGAACGGTTGCGACTTGCAACTAACATAAGTATCTGAACTGTCTACGCTACCTACTTCATTACGAGGTAAACGCAAGGCAGGTGTTTCATTGTTAGGCTTAAGCGCTCTCATTTCTACACTTAAGGTAGTTTTGGTATCGATTGTTGGATATGGTGTAAGGTGCTCTGCATCCAAATATTCTTTGACCTCCTGCAAATTAAATTTCATTTAAGTCAAAATTATTTAATTTTTTTTTTTATCTTTACCACAATATAGTCAATTTTAACAAAATTTTATTATTTTAGTTTTTGATGATATCTATATTTTTGACGTACATATTATCAAATTTAATTTTGTATAAATAACAACAAATAATAACGTAGTGGCATAACTAAGGGGGCTAAAAGAGCTAATTGAATACATTAAATGAACAGTTTTGGTAAAAAATCACTTCAAATAAGATTATTCAATTGTTTTTTGGCAAAAATCACCTCCTTTTAAAAATCCTAGATTGTCTCATGTAATGACCTGTTAATAAAATAAGTTAACAAAAAATTTAATTATATTTTACATACAACAAATCTCATAAGCAATATACGTATTCCTAAATATTATCAACTACTAAAAAAACTGTGTTCCAAATAATCATAATTGTTAATGATTGTTAATTGTATTATGGTTACAGACAAATAAGTAATAATTTTTTTGCGCCTTTAAAAGGGATCCTTTTAAATAAATAAGGCATGTATTATATTATTATGTTAAAAATAATATTTCTTGATAGATTATTACATAAATACTATCTATACGATCAAAATTTCTACTACATGTCAAATTCTAGTTGAGATTGTAATTCATGAAATGTATACATTAACATCCAATGCATTTAGGATGTTAGGAGACAAATAAAATTTAATTAAAGACTAACTATCCGTTTAGTTCAGACTTAATTAAATAAATTGAACATTGTCGTTAACTTGGCGCCTATGTACTTTGTAAACTTAAATGTATTGTAAATGCAATTTTTCGACTAAAAATGGAAACATAAATACTACAACTTAAGTTTTAGTAAATGCTAAAATAACTATTCAATTTGGAAATTATACATTCAATTATCATTTTTTGTTACTCATACTTTGTTTTAATCAAAAATGCAAATAAAAACTATCGAGTCAAAAAGACTCCCTAACAGCACAAAAATTCATGATATAAGAGTGTAAAAAAAGTGTATATAATATTTATGATCTCTTAAGATTAATGATCTGTGATACAGTACTGTGTTTCTCACGCCATGTTATGAACTTATATGAGAGTGTAATGGCATCTAAAACACAAGTACTCAATGGTATAGTGGTATGGTTTATCACTACAACGCTTTGGGCCACGGGATAAGTCTCGTGCCGTAGCTCTTTTTTCACATTATTTCTGGTTTACTTTCGATGACCGGCGGCGCCATCAATGTCATCTGCCATGATATAACTATTAGTAATAATCTTAATCTTCCGCAATTAAAAACAAAACAAAAAAAATTTTTCATTTAACGATCAGGTAATTGTAAAAGCAATTTGAAAAAAAATTTTAAGGTGCTTAAAATATATTTTAATACATTAAAAAGAAGTTAATACGATTTTAAAATAAATATAGATTTTAAGTAACTTCATATAGACGTCTAGGGACCTTAAAAGACATGGGTACCAAGTGAAGTATACAAGAAAGCATATGTGTAATTTCGTATACATCAAATTTTCTAGATCGAGCGCTTAAAATTTCTTAAACAAGTCTTTGAAAAGTTAAATATCTCACAGTTATAAAAACTGGACGATAGATTAATACTAATAGAGATGCATAATTAATTTATGGTTTCTGGTATGATCACAAGTGCAGTTTCAATTTGAATCACTGAGGTTTTCAAGGGTAAGATGCAATGGATAATCTATAGACTCTCTTCTAAAAAGGTAAGACTGAGAATATTTATTTTTAAACACTTAAGGCTACACTCCATATTTTTCAATTCTGGTTCTTAAAAATCTTAAAATGTTTGAAATTAAAACAAGAGAAATTTAAAAAATAATATATTTATTATTATTTAATTTAATTTTACCAATTTGTTTAAATTGAATTTCTGATCCTATAAATAAATTTATTTTTTAAAAGGGTGACTCAATTTTTTTGACTATAAAAAGTCATCAGCAAAAGTGGATTGGAAGACGAGGGCACACAAAAATTGTTGTGACCCTGTTCGCTTCAAAAAAATTGTTTTGTTACAAATTTAATAATTTAAAAAACTTATAAATTATACATAGTATAATTAAAAATTTAACTTATTATCAATTTGTTTTAATATCATTGATACATCAATTTACCCAGAGTCCACACAGACCAACGCTTATCAACACAATTTATCAAAAATTGAAAAGATTAAAAAAAATGATATAATAGTTAAATATAATTGTTAGATTTAGTCAGCCCAATTACACTATTCGTAACGACCCTTATCGTTCTATAGACGGCGGCCTAGAGCATAATTATCTCCTTTCTCTCGTGGTTAGTCCGCCCCTGGTCATCAAAATTTAATATATTAGTAGATTCTTCGGAAATAAAAAATCGTGACTTCTCCTGACTACGTATAAAATTGTTAATAACTTCTGAAATAAGTTGTTATAGCCCAGTTATTTTCTTAACGTGATCATTATTTAATAGATTACTTAGTTGATTATATATGTTGCCATCTAAAAAAATAAAACTGACACTCTTAATGTTTATAAGGGATGATATATAAAATATGTCTACTTAAATCTAAAGAAATTGAACTGATAAAAAGCCAAATGACTTTGAATCAATTAAATCATTTAGATCAGAGAGAAGAATGGGAACGTTAAATACTTTTTTTACTATAAAATTCAACGACTAAGGAAGATAAAGGTTAACTATATCCCTTTATATCACTATTGTTTACCTTATAAAAACCACTGGACTACAATATACATTTTAGATTCCTTATTTATATATTTTTTATTATTATTGCTTTAATATTAAACTAAGAAAAGCGTGTTGAAATATATAAGTATGAAAATGCATGTATTGGTATTGTTTGATTTTAAGTAGATGATTAATTCATCTAAACTTTGATCAATAATTATTCTTAAACAGAATTTATAAATTGTTATTAGACAATTAAATATTTTGTTGTCTAGTGTTGCCTCGCGTGAGCCGTTAAAGTTTAAAAGCAATAAAAAATATCAACCCTTATAACCAAGGTAAAATCAATAATTGTATAATAAAGCTATTGTGTATAGCAAAAGTTAGTAAAATTTTATAAATGTATTCGTTATTAACCCCTATTCCATTAGTTGTAAACCAGGTCTATTATAAATACTAATGTGATGAAAACAAAGTAATACGTTTGCAATAGAATTATTGTAGTATTCTTTTAATCAATATTCAAGCACGTACATTATTTTATACCGGTAAATGACTTCTGGTGTTCCCCCTTTTTTTTTTTGGCACAAAAAATATTTATGACTATTTTTACTCATCATTTGTTAAGGTGTAAGAATCTATCAAGGGAATCACTACGATGTGGCCAGTAATCCGATTAGCCAGTACATACCTGTCAACAGTTACACAATATTCACTATATAGATAAACGAATAGATAATTTAATGATATGTTAATGTACACTATATAAATATAATAGCTGTAAATTGTTACAGGAACCTATTTATTGGGGAAGGGGTGCTCCTTATATGATGAACTTAAGAAATTTCATAACAAAATAAAACCAAAAAAACACTTCACACTCAAGTTATTGTACATATAAAATCAAATTATAACAGAAAATGGAGCCATCTAATAACAATAGTTATTGAGAAAAATATATTTTTTTAATAAATAAGACTTTTATTTCACGACAAAAATTTGGATTTTTATTATGTTTCATAAATTACATTTAAATTATCATATATTGATCGGCACAATATGAGAAAAGCTCGATCGACTTTGATTTGTACTAAACATTTTAACTGCGTAAATATTCAAGTTACCCTCCCCAAATTATTCGTCTAAAAGGGAAGTGCATGTTTCTATCATACCACACGTCACAATCTAACTATTATTTTAAATTTTGTATGCTCGCTCCTAAAATCTTTTTAAAAATACGCCACTGGTGTCAATAGCTTAAAAAAATTCTAAACAATTTTTTATTAATTTTTTTTTAATTTTCTATCCTCTTAAATGACAATAATTTTCTCTACATTTTTATGATGCAATTTAATATACTTAATATTAGAATATTTTTTAAGTTGTTGAAATGTTGTTATAAATGAAAAAAATTATGAATTATTTATAATTAGTTATTAAAATAATAAATAATATTTTTATTTACCTCAAAACTTTTTTTTTCTAAATGAACTATCTTTTTACTATCAAGTTATTAAATTGTTATTATTTATTTATTTTTTCTAATAATTTCCTGAACTTGTTTAATAGACAGTTGAAGTTAAACATTTATTATGTTAAATCATACATATAAGTTATTAATGAATTAATGAGTAGTTAAAATAATTATATTAAAATATTATAATTAAGAAGACATGATAAATGTTTCACAATTACATAAAATACAAATTATATTTAATATTTTTAAGAGAAATTAAAATATTAAATTAGTTTATTCTATATCCATACCAAATTAAATATATACTAAAATATCTCTGATCAGATCCATGAGATATACATTATTTGGACTTTATTATATTATACGCTTTTGTTAACCCATTTAAGGCCATTGCGGTCTCCTCCCAAGGAGGAGGTTTCTTAACCATTTAAACTCCGGGACAAGTGGTTACTCCATCGTCGGATATGGACTAATTTTAGTAAATTAGCAAATAATAATAAGTAAATTTATGTTCAACTTAAAAATAATTGAATAAAAATTTGTTTTTTGTCAATGTACATTTTTTTATCACGCTGAGCAAATGTTTCAATGAAAAATTTTGATTTCGCTTAATGCATGAAGTAGTCGTAACTTGTAAATTGTGAGCTGGAAAAAAAGTCCCAATTATCGTTTTTCCCTTAGTTTAACATATAAATAATTTTTTTTCTACTTCTTAATAAGTTTCAATTTATATTTAAATATATATTTAAGAATATTTAATTTTTTCAGAAAAATTAATGAAATATTTTATGTTCTTTATTTAATATATATATAACGGTTGCGACTTGCAACTNTAATATATATATATATTATTACACTTTATCATATCTCCAAAAGTTTATTAAGCTTATAAATATTTATTCTTTGAAAAATTTTCTTTGGTAATAACGTTTAAAATTAATTAACACGACAATTTTAATTTATATTGAAAATTGGATTTTTCAGTGAATAAACAGTTAAAGATATATAAAAAAGTGTGATATTGAGGAAAAATTAAATTTAAATATTTTCTTTATTATAAAAACTACTAATATTAACTTATTACAGTCAAATTACATACATTTTTAGTTAATGCTCAATGGTGTTTATTCACTGAGTATTCATTTACTTGTGATACTTAATAACCTATAACATTTTTTAAAATTAAATTTTCCACTAAATTACATATAATTTTTTTTTTTATTCATAATATATGCATAATAAACATAATTTCTACCCTTTTAAATAAATTTTCAAAACCTCTGAGACACATGTAGATGGTTAAGTATCATCATCGTTAAAAATAGCCAAAAATTTTCTTTTTACAAATAGAATAAATTTCCGGGTACCTAACATCAAATTTCTTAAATTTGTCTCTACTGTTTTATTATACTAATTATCAGTGTACTAGTCAAATTATTGACGTAAAATTTCTGACTTAATCTAAATTAATATAAAAAGGAGATAATTAACGATCGGTTCAATTTATGTGGCTATTACTATTTGTATTATTTATACCTTTTGTTTACAAGAGCAACATTCGAATTCATTATGTTTTTCATCTAACTTTTTGTTTAAACCACTCTTGACCATCATGGCCTAAAATCAAAATAAAACAAAAACTCACACAAATATATGATAAAAAATAATAAAAAAATGCTGAATCGCGTAACCATATATCAAAATTAAAACAAGTATATAATTAACAGTTAAATTTAAATCATATAACATAAATAGTTTAAATTAATAAGAGCAAGCTACCAGGAAAATGTTGGTATCCCGTTGGGACCACCAACTCTGCCAAAGTGAAATGACATAACTGCATACTAATAATAATTGATTTAGTTTAATTAAGTGTACGAATATACACATAATTAAATTAAACATCTTAACGTTTTTCTCAATTTTATTAACATATACTAGAAATTTAGACTACTAAATCAATAGACGTTAGTTTAAATGTTCACAAATTGATTAGCTATATATAAAACAACAAGGTTTTAATATGATCAATGATATAAACCAGAAATAAAAGTATATCACTTAACTGAATTAAAAATTAAAAATGTTTAATTTTTTTTACTATTTATCATACAATATTAATATTAAATTTTGCTGCAAATACGAAATTCAGATCAAAAAACATAATCACGTATATTATATAATAATAAAACATAATTGCGCTATGAAGAACAAAAACTATAACGGAGTACAAGTTGAAAAATAAGAAAACCAGATCTAAAGTTTTTGATGTCTTAACAGGTTATACAAGTCTTTTAAGATATGATTTAATAATAATACTGGGGTGTTTAGGAAAGTAAAGAATGACATTAAATGACAACGGTACCCTTAAACGTTAACCCGAATGAGTCTGTTTTTTTATTGTTCGCTCAAATGTTGACACTTATTAGAATGGCTTCTGACGGCGCTTATTGGCCGACAGCTGACAAGTAAAAGGCTTGAAGCAAAAAGCAAACAACCATCACATAAAGTACTCACAGCGCTTTCAAAAGGCTTTCCAAAAGAATTAGCGTTCTGCTCCGGATTGTCGATATCCAATAACGTTTGTTCTTGTTTTACCTTGGAATCGTGAACCGCACCTCTAGCTGGAGGCGGTGGATTCAATGGCATCGTTTCACTACAACTACTAGTTTCTTCATACTGCGAGTAATTACTTCCTACTATAAAACAAAAATTGATAATATTAGATTACAATAATTTACAAAAATCAAAAAAGCAGTCATTTAAAAAAAGGGAATTGAATATAAGAAATTATAGTCGAGTTTACGAAGTCATATAATCTTTCTAAGAAGATTTTTTTTTATAGATCGTTTATATTGATAAATATATTACTTTTTAAAAGCAGACATCTTTAAGCTTAATTTATATTCAATTAAAATATTGTTTTAATGTAACTTTGATATAAAATGTTTATCATTAAGATTGTCAAAGAAAGTTTTTAATCATTATTTAATGTTAATAAAAGTTGAGTCGGCAAAATAATACTTTATTTTTTATTATAATTTAACGATAGGTACTATATTATTTGCAAGTTGTGTTCATTGTTTTATTGAAATAAATTATATAGTTTCAAATTAAAAAAATATTCTGCAAAAATGTTGATCATAGTTGATGATTTAAAAATGAATATTAAACTTACCACATAAAATGTAAAAATTACAAAATGTGTAAGTTTAGTTAGATATATAATAAAAAAAAAATTGGTTATTAAGTCTCCAATTATTTTAGTCAATTAGTATAATATATACCTGGATAACTTTTAAAAATATGACATTTAACAAAGAGATTTTGGAAATGAATAAGCTTTTATGATAATAGTTATCATAAACGAAATAATAGTTATCATAAAACAAACGTAACATAGTGTTACGTTTGTTTTTAAAATTTCAACTTACCGTGAGATCGCAGCGAGTTCTGCTTGGATAGTTTCGGTATGTCACTTTCTGAAAATCCATCAAGTTAAAAGAAATAGTAAACTAAACTTTGAATATTAAATCTTAAGATGTCTTATACACAATAGTTTAAAATTAATAATTAATCAATAAAATGTATTAATTAACTATTAACCTAACCGTCCTCTTTAACCCGAACATAGTTTTTTAAAAGGGACGTTAAATTAATAAGTAAAACACTATTAGTAACTTAATATTAAATGGAAGATTATTTTTAATATTCTAAATTTTATTAAATGCAGAGTTTAAAACATATTGATAAACGGTTAATTTGTATAATTAAAGGGAATATTAGCGTGATAAGACCCTCACCAGTGTCGACAATTACGTCGATTAGATCCATGCTCTTGGCAAATGCATCTCTGAGGTTAACATGATGGAACGATACGATGCTTCCTTCTCGCTTCGCTCGCTCCAATGCCTCCCGTCGTTTGAGTGCTTTTTCTCGTCTCATTTGATTTTTATAGAACTCGGCAAAGTTGTTCACTATAATGGGAATGGGTAGCGCAATGACCAATACGCCGCAGATGCAACAGACGCCGCCAATCATCTTGCCTAAAGCTGTAGTTGGGTAGATGTCACCATAACCAACAGTGGTCATAGTGATGCCGGCCCACCAAAACGTTTCTGGTATAGACGTAAACTTGGTGTTATTCTGTTCTTTTTCGGCAAAGTAAGCCAAGCTGGAGAAAATAAGCACTCCCATGGCAAGAAATAACATAAGTAATCCGAGTTCCTTGTACGAGTTTCTTAGTGTAAATCCTAAACTTTGTAAACCAGTTGAATGCCTTGCTAGCTTGAGAATACGTAGAATTCTCATTATACGGAATATTTGTATTACTCGACGCACGTCTTCGAATTGATGAGTATCCGATTTATCTGTCTCGGCCTGTAGCAATAGAGAAACGTAATAAGGAAGTATTGCCAACAAATCGATAACATTGAGGCCGCCTTTAAAAAATTTCCATTTATTCGGTGATGCACTGAATCGGAGTAAATATTCCAGCGTAAACCACGTTATACACACTAGCTCCACCATGGCAAATATTGGATTGTCTTGGAATACTTCTGGTGCAATCTCTACCTGAGTTTTTGGCAATGTGTTCAGAGTAAGAGCTACCGTCGACAGGATGATGAACAGTATTGATATAACGGCTATCACCTGGTCAACAACAATCATTCTAATTTTGGATCAAACTCAAATGTGTACACAATGACCACATAAAACAAATATGCGCAAAAAATTCACACACAATACTTCTCAACGTGCACTGTCTAGGGAGGCACTATTTCAATATATTTGAAACACTTAGTAGGTATAAGGTTATAATGTCATCATTAAATGAATAAATAAAAAAATATACATTTCCGAAAATATAGACGCTGTTAAAATGCATGATTAATAGTTATTTTATAATTAGTAGGTTAGTTTGAATGATATTGTATGCAAATTGTAAATTCGAGTTAATCTTGTAAAAAATGTGTTGTAAAATGTTTAACACTATGAAGTTATCTTTGAACTTATATAATTATACGATAAAGACCTTTCAAGTACATAGATGTTTAATTAAATTATTATTACAAGAATCTTTTAGAAAAGCGTATTTTTTCAATAAAAAAAAAAAAATGTTTAAAATAACACTCACGTGACATTTACAACAAAATAGTTTCAATGGAACTAAACCAATAACATTAATTATTTCCATATAAACAGAGATTGATTTGACCAAAAATCAATCTTTTTAAAAGATTCTTCTATACTTCAAAATCAAAATTCAAATAAATATTTTCTAAAACTAGTATTTGTTACCGAAACCGAAATTTTATCTGTTTTGATAATATAAGTTAATACCATATTTTATAATGTATTTATTTATAAATATATTCAATTACTTTTATTTTAACGTCAGTATTCACAATGAAAAATTTTTTTAGTTGTGCATATTTAATATCTCTAGTCTTTACTTTACATGTGGTATAATCCCGACAATGTATATTAATCATTGATGATAATCATAATTAAAAGTATTATATGCAATTATACATTTTATCAAACAAATTAATAGTATAATATTCTGATTAATTATTAATCAGAATACCATCAGCAAGTATATATTATTATCAATTGATTTGAAAACTTAGTATGTATTTTTCCGATGTTGTAGTATTAGGGGTGATAAAGTGAGTTAATCCCCCCCCATCTACAATAAAAAGTATTTCTGCGTTACTATGTAATCCAACGACAAAGTGGCACAAACTTGGAACCCTTCAAAGTGAATCAAACAAAATGTATAAATGTATTTAGTTCGTTGCTTTAATCATAATTTATAAGTGCTAAACACTATACTTTTTCTTTGTATACTATTTATGGAATACAACACATATAACTACAAATAGGAATTATACGTATTTATAAATATTGTTAAATTATTCTGAACACACCATCAGCTAGAACAAATTACAATAAATTGACTTTAAAACTTAGTATTTTATTGTTACCAAGGTAATAGTTTTGGGGGATTAGAAGGCCCTAAACGGAAAATGTTTCTGCGTTTTTCTATAATCCTACACAAAGTTACACAAACTTAGGATCCTTTAAAGTGGTTCAAACAAAATTTATAAATATATTTAATTCTCATCCCTACAATAGGTAATAACTTATTGCATTTTAATGTGTGAATTTTATATAATATTATTACATAAATTATATAATTATTTGACAGATATTGAGTCCTATGTTGTTGGAATTTAATGTCATTATTTTCGGGAAATTAACTATGGCACATTGCATTTACTTATGTATGTCATTGTTTAAAATGAATTGCAGACTTTATAAATCATATGATGTGCACATTAGTGATTTAGTGGAGGTATCTAATTAGCTAATAAAAACAGACTTCCTTTAGTTATTTAATGATACCATGTCATATTTTCAATTCGGTCATTGTAATGATTGCTAATTAAGGAGATTTTAAAATTTCATATCAACAAAACATCTTAAAACTAATAAAAACACTAAATCATGGTTTCACACAAACTATTATATGTTTTCATGATTTAATAGTTCTAATTGATAAAAAATATGTGCTATTAAATTGCATTTCAAGGATAATATATGACAGGTATATTTATAGCTTAAAATTATGTCAGGTGTAATATGTAATTTTTTGCAATTGGACAAAAAGGTTTTTATGTAATTTTTTTGTTTTCGAGAAGAAGAAAAATTTAATCGTTAGTGAAATTCTTATTTGAAGGTGGAAAATACTTAAAAAATACATAATTAAGATGCGAAATTCATGTGTCCGACACTAAGACCAAAAGTTAACTAGGTGATGATACAGTTGTACTTTTGTTCAAAGAGCTAGTGACTACCTTTTCTTTATATAAAATTTTATATACACCTTTGAAAAGTCTTAAAATGGTGTTATACCAAAAATGAAATAATAAATCCTCAAAATTGTGGTTGAAATCTATATGAATACTGAAAATAAATAAAAACCATTTATAAATTGAAATAATGACCTAAATATTTTTTATCGGTTTCAAGCCCAGCTGTAAAGTGGTATTCAGGACTTAGCGAATTAACTTAATACTATTTTAGTTAATATAATGAAGTAATTTATTGAGTTCCTTTGCCTTTGAATTTTATACAGAGTAATATTTTAATATTAACCACTAGAATTCTCTTAAAATAACAATTATATTAAGAAAATTGTTTTTGAAATTTTTTTATTTTATATAATTTTGAATTTATTAATTATTAAGTTTTTATTCAAAATTAGTCCCTTGTACCTTACAAGATATTAATGTAATTAAAAATTAACAACTTTATTTATTTTTATTGTTTTTTTATCGCTTTATCAGCTCATTAAGGGCTATAGAAGTCTCCCCAAAGGAGGAGATTTCTTAACCATTTATACTCCAAGACGTGTGGTTAGTCCGTCGCCGGAGAGAGGAATGGCGACTCCAATTACCAATTACTCCAATTACTGATCTCTCGTTCAGCAAATGAAGCCGTCCGTGTCCAAGTTTCGAACCCGAGGCAGTGTGCGTCAAACATTGTCGCGTTACCGACTCGGCCACACTGTTTCTATTTTTATTGTAACATTAACTGGTTAATAAAATTAAATATGATCTAATTAAGTAAATGACAAATTAATAATAATTAATTGAGTCGATCAAAAGTTGTCATCCACTACGTATGTTGCTTATTAAAAAATATAATTTGATACTATTATAAATTACAAGGGAAAAATAAAATAAAAACTTAATGTTTATAAATATGAAACAAATCATCGTTTGTCTAATAATAAAAGAATATATCTGTTTGTAACAATTTTATGGCGTGTGATATAGACAGAATTCTATAAGGAATCGTGATAATTGGCGCTTATTATCACATTTCAATAAGTGATTTTTTAAGTCATTAGACAGCGAAGATAACTAATATACAGTAAGTTTTAATGTTATTTTAACAGTAAAATTCACTGTATGTACTGTAGGGTTGTACAGATTGTTGTGTAAATCATATATAATCATTCCATCTATAATCATGGCCTTAAGTTATTATAATATAACTAAAAATATTAAGGATGAACAAAATTTGGAATTATTATTTTAAGAAGATTATATAAATAAGTAAAGACGATTAAATAAAATTGACATTTGTCAATTAAAAATTGATAATTATGATTATCTATCTATTTAACACTATTAATTTTTATCATAAATTCAACAAATCAAGGTGATTGTTTAACAATCATTGTCTTTAAAAGTATAGTAATACATAGTGTTCAGTAAGTAATGAAACGGAATTCTTGTGTTCTCGTTGTTTATAACAATTGACCTGTTTTCTTACTTACTGAACACTATATATATTATAAGTATAAGCAATAAAATTTTTAAATGGAAACATAAAAAATGTCTTTGATGTCTTAGAAAATCTAATTAATTTTGATCCAACTAAAATTTTTGCGTTTTTTTTTAAATAATTTTCATAGTTTTGAACTTTGTTAAAGGATATTTTTTATTATTTGTCTTTAATAAGAAAAAATAAAAAATAATATGTTTTAATTTCATGTTTGATTTTTACAACATTTTTAAATACCTATTTTTTTAGCCATTTTTTCATAAAAAAAAGTTGATAACAATTTTAGGATAGAAGGGAGTATAGAATAGGTTATTTACCCACTATAAATTTATATAGTGCGGGTGGATATAGCTCGTATATGTATACTGCGTTACATATCTACTCTGTGTAAAAATTCTTCTTATCAATAAGTACGTATCCTTAAGTCTTTATCAGCCAATCAATATTTTTTGTAAGAAGAGAGCTATTTTGAAGGTAAAAAAAAATATTAATAATAAATAAAACAATTTTTTTTTGTCTTACTAGAGACAAATAAAAAATCTGTAGATAGTGTTTAATTTAAAAAAAAAAACTTGTCAAAAAAGTAGGTCAATTGAGAGCTGAGAAAATAAATGATAGCTACAAAAAAAAAACCACATAGTAAAATAATATTAATATTAATTTCTTCTCACGAGAGGAGACTACAGTAATGGAATCCTTGATAATTATTGAAGTTATTGAAACTAAATGAGATAAAAATCAAATGAGTTAAACATTTTTTTTTAACTCAAAAAGAATTAAAAAAAAATTCAGTGCCACAGTCGTGAAAGACCCAAGTGTTACCGTCTCAAAAACCGTACGTCTCATTCGTCACTTAATAAAAATGGAAATTTAGCTAGTTCAAATTTTAAGTTATTTTTCTCGACTTCAAAGAAAGAAAAAAATTTAAATATGATTAATTTTTTATACTATGTCATTTAGATTGATATAATATTTATGAAAATCAGTGTAATCCCCTTATAATAAAATAAAATACAAAACCAAGAATTTTAACACAATTATAGCATATTTTTAAATACGGTAGCTATTTTCACCATGTATTCTCCTAATAAGATATTTAAAAATAAAATAAAATACAAAACCTAGAATTTTAATAGAAAAATAGCATATTTTTGAATACGGTAGCCATTTACGCATTTGCGTTAGTTTTTGTAAAAAAGTTGCTATTTTAAATCCCCTTTGTTAGCAGAATAAGTGTTAGATTTTCAAAAAAAAAATAGAAGGTGATTTTTATCGCAAATATTACATTTTTTTTTTAAATTTCGACAGCAATTTGCACATAGTAGATAAGGTGTCGGGACAAATTTTTTATTTTTATTTTATAGTACATAAAATAAGCTTTAATTTGATATATGTTTAAAGGACGCAGTATTTCCGGAACATTTTCAAAAGTTAAGTTGAAAAAGTTAGTTTTTGTAAAAAAGTTGCTATTTTAAATCCCCCCCAATGAGCAAGTTAAGTGTTAGATTTTCAAAAAAATGATATCAAATGAAAGAGAAATATCTAAGGTTTTAGTATAAAAAATAATTATGTTGATTTGTTTATTTTTGAAAAAGTTATGGAAGTTTTAAGAAAAAAAAGTGAAAAAAATGACAAAATTTACCGATTTTTAAATTTGTAATTTTTTTGGGTATTTCCCCCATTTGCGGGGAACGAGGGAAAATTTTTTTCAACTTTTAAGGGTAATTTCTTCAACTAGATACGATTTGTGATCTTTTGACGTATTGTTGAAAGAAATCGGTCCAGTGAGAGCTGAGAAAAAGTGGCAACAGACATAAAAAAAAAAAAAAAAACATCATGGTAAAATTAACATCGAAGCTAATATGCTTTTAATTAAGTTCAAACTGTAGAAATTGTTAAAAATAAGTTACGAATAATATTCTCTGGATCAAAAGTTATTAGTTTTGTTAAAACATAGTGGTACACACCGTATGTTTAATCTGATAAAAGATAAGAAAATGATCTAAGGAACAAAATGACAGGTAGTTAACAACTTTTAAACTAGCGTTTAGAAGTTATTAACACTTTAGTATAAAGAGTAAAGGTAAAGCGCAGATCTGTTTATTTTTACTTCTTGTCATTTGTGAATCTTACTACTCCTACCGCTCTGATATGAAAATGCTAATATTTTTTAAAGTACTGGTATAAAATTTGTTATTGATCGATCATTTATACTACAACTAGATCATTATCTTATTTGTAAACCGGTCAAAGACATATTTCTATTAAAAAAACAAAAGTGGACACAATTTTAGGAGGATAAAAGTGGTAAGACCATATTTTTCTTTGATAATTATAAAACGTAGGATATTATTAACTTTTGCAAAGAAAACATGATTTTATGTTTTATACTTTTAAAGATATTGCATGAGTTATAGTTAAAAAATTACTCTTTAGAATAAATAACTCTTTTTATATGTCATTGATTTTCAGATGAATCATCTTTATCAGCCAATAAAGACAAATGGTAAAGTAGAGGGACAAAGAAATCTAAAGTCAAAAACAGTTTTATTTATGTTTAACCAAATGAGATTGTGTCACGCAAATTGGTGGGAATAGAATGGAATTTTCAGAATAGTTACTTCAGAAAATTTCACAACACACAATATTGCATACAATATGTAATTCAGAGTGAATTTATGTTTGTAGGTTATGTTTGCATTTATTATGGTTGTTACGCAAATGATGGTTTAATTAGAATGCGTAACGCGGTCGTAGTTTGCGTGTTAAAGAACACTAGTTAATTTGTTTGGGATAACAGTTCAAAGCCAAAGTTTTTGTTTCAACTTAGATCGGGTGACATGTTAATGACAAAGTCGGTTAGCAGCCACTAAGTGTAGAGGGAGAGATCTTATTCACTAAATAAACAAAATCAAAAGCGAAATTCACAAAATATAGAAAGCAGTCCACGGCCAATAAAATCAAAATAATTACAAATAATCAAACACAGTCACTCGCATTCATTTATGTGTAAGTGTATAAACGCGCAAGTCCAATAGGTAGTAAAGACCGGTCCCGGGGCCGGTAAGTCAGTCACATTAAACGGACGGCTATACCGGCGCCGATACGAGCCTCAAACGACCTTTAGACATTAACATTCCTTAAGAACACACTTTTTATTTTTAAACGAATGATTATTTTCTTATTGTCCAGTTTGATTTAAAATGATTGGCGTCTTCTGTTGACTTCTACGACGAACACGTCCATCGCGAACAAACTCATTCCACACACCAAACTTGTACAATAATTTTTCATTTAAATTTGCCGAGTTCTATTTACTAGTAAATTATATCAGTAGGATGCGGATGTCGATAAAGTAGTGTTGTACGCCGGTGTTAAAAAACAAAAGTGTTTTTTAATAGTACAAAAAAGCAGCTCGTGCATAATTAATTCCCTGTCAACACACTCGTTAAGAAAACAACAAAGATAAACAAATATCAAACGAAATCATAAAAAAAGTTGCTGGTACAAATATATTTTAAATTCTTTCCGGCAACGTGATGAACAACATAATTAAAAGTTTGCTTATTATTAAATTTAAAAAAAAAAGCACGCATGTATCTATTTGAACATAAATAAAAACAAATACGTGAAGACGTGCCGCATGCGGTCAAGCTGACCGTTGACGGACTTAACATCGAAGACTTACCCTCGCAGCTATGCTCGTTGTAGGTTTTTCTAACAAATCCCAAAGCATTTTCTGATATTGCGCACATTTCCCCTCGCCAAATTCCTCCTCGTCCCTTTGACGCAGTGATTCGGCTTCTTTTCGCATTTCTTCGTGCACGTGCTCTTTTCGCTGATGGTATTTGTGTTGACAACACGATTCCAAGTAAAGTTCGTCCACACCCCAATACTCCAAGTCATCGCTGAAGGCAAGTACACACATTTCGTCTACTAAATGTAATTTTCCAGTTCTGTAGAAATTAAGCACCTGAAAATGGCATAAACGAATTTTAAGTATAATTATGAAAATTTATCCCTAGCAAAAATTTTTAATTGAAATGAAATTTGAAAGCCGATTACGGTTGATACATTCAAAATGTCAAAATAATATTTTATTATTATTATTCATCATAGTATAACAATAAAAATTAAACGCTGTAAAATTAATAACTTTTCACCATCATGCCGATCCATTATTATACATTTGTCGGATACTTACTAAGAATATACTAATAAAAAAACAAACGAAATATTTACTATACTATTCATAGTTAATTTTAATACTTTTGTCAATCTTTAAATGAAAATACGAGAAATGGTGAAAAACTAATGTTTTATATTTACATTTCGGGTGGATGGTCGTTTTAAACCTTTTCTGTACTAAGTTTCTCATTGGATTTTCATTTGACAATATAGTATTTATTATATATCAATTTAATAATATATATCATTTATAGTATACTATATTGAAATTTCACTTTGATCAGTGTTTTTTAAATAAAATGTCTAAAGAAATTTATAGTAATTTTAAAATGTTTACGGTAGCGTAATTTTGAGATATTTTTTGAAATTGATGAAGTGTTTTCAAATTGTCGGCGCTGATAGGCCTAGATTTTGATAGGACTAGATTGATGACCAACTCTTATAACGCTAAAATGATATTAAGATAATTATGCATTAATGACAGATGTATTAATTACACATATACATGAGCTAAAGATTCCTATCTCCGTGTAAGCCTCTGCTTATGTACAAATCGGCTTTGTAGAGGCAGATAATAAAAATGATATTTCATAGCAAAACAAGTTTAAACAAAATATTCGTTAATTAAATTACCGAGCTAAATGATTTTGGATGTCTGTCGAAGAAATACTCGTTGTCCGCCAGTGAATAGTCATCGCAAAGCTCAGCAATAGCTTCATGTGTATTACAATCACGCAGTCGGCCCAATCGAGTGTGCGGCAGTCGTTCTAGTGTTCGCCACAGTATTTCGTGTTTCACACCACCGACATTGATGCACACTCTTCGATTAAGGGCTTTCGACCGCATGATCATAAAAGGTTCAGGGGGCAACGAAGACAACGAACGGCTGTGTAGCCGACGTTGAAGATCTTTTGCTTGCGACGACGTCGCCGTCGTCGGACCCGGTTGTGATGGTGTCTTGGCAGGGAACCTGATTTCTTTTTGACTGTCCGGGTGAGCTGTGGCAGAGGCGGCCGCAGCAGTCCATTGAACGACCGCGCCGATCGGCGGAATACATGGGCCGCCACAGCCATTGTTTTCGATTCCGGTGTCCGCTTCGCGTTCCGCGGCCATCAACCGGACACCGGGCAGTCAACCATCAATCTCCTGCCACCCATTGGTCTACAAACAAACAAAATCGTTATACATAAGTAATATTTTATAGTATAATTAATACAAATTTATTGAAAAATAACTTGTAATCTTTTAATTTTCTTGAAAATTTCAAACTATTAAAAAATATACGTTCATTTTTTATCAGCAAAAGCATCTGTTAAGTCGAGTTCATAAATGTTCAATTTTTGATAATTTTTTTTTACCACGTCATCTGATGCCGAACGCGAAAAACTAGTGGATGTTAAAAGAAAACACGTTTTAAAGAAAAAAATCAAGTTAAATATATTAGGAAAATGTCGATTAATATAGAGACAACAAAAGTAACAGTAGGAATAAATAAATAAATAGTTGGGTTAACCGAATATTCCAACTGTCTTAATTGCAATTGTTACTATAGGACACAATACAAAGAATAAACATATTAACGCTACAAAACTTTATTTAATATGCATTTATATGAGAGTCCTAAATTTTTTACACATTATTGATGAGAAAATTATCTGTAATCTAGCGTTTTTATTTTTTGTTTACATTATTTCTAGTATTTTATATTCACTAGAAAATTTTGGTAAAATTCAATAGTATTATAGTTTTAATATTCAAGAAATAACTTTAGAATCATTTTTTCTTTATAATTTGATAAAAAAATCGAAAAATGTGGTGTCAAACAACTTGATAAAAGTTGTCCTGCGCAAAATAATTTTTATGCAATAAATGAAGTTTTTGTCATTTTCATGTGGACGCCCCCAATGAAAAGTGTTGTACCTCACTTACAGTTACCTAAATTAAAAGCTAATAGGATTTTAAGAATTGTTTGTTCACCTGTACGGCGTCCTCTTAAGGGTGTATATATATATTTTTTGTATAATTGTTGAGTCCAGAAAAAAGTCATGTCAAGTTCATTGTAAATAGTTTTTTGTATCTCTTGTAAAATATACTTTTTGTAACATATCCCCTTTTGAACTCAGTAGTTCATCTAATTTATCATTTTATAACTTAACGATAAAATTATATCAACTTAAAACATGGTATGTTAAATAAGGTACGCGTGAACAGCTGTTGACCGACTCTTATCAGCCGTCTCGTCGCCAGCCTTTACAGCAACCAGCAGTGATGACACAGGTTAGTGACTTACATTGTTGTCGTATAAGAATGATATTGTGCGCATCAAATCGTCTAGTGTAAAAAAGTGCAGTTGTATTTTGTGCCATTGGGAAATTATGTGAAATTTACAAGCCTAATTCGGTTTTCGGCAGCCACTTGGATTGTTTTACCATCAACGGCTCTAGTGGAGTTAGTATTGATTTAGCATTTAACAGCGATATTAATTTCGATGTAATAAGTATTATATTTCGGTATTCATCAGTTGGCTGAATCAAACATCAGTTGAAGCGACCGAGTAGCAAATTGGATCGTATTATATGAATATATTAAAAGTTGAATATTATATATCCCCCTAATCAAAATTAGTTATATTATTATTTTTAAGATAACTTTATTATCATTTCTCTGGATAAAAGTTCGACGGTAAAATAAAGTGCCAAGTCATAAATAATTAAGTAATATATTAATCTATTAAATAAAATTATTAAAGTATTTAAAAAATCAATTTCTTGTGAAAGAGATGACATGGCTATTGCTTGCCATCTTATAAGAGTTTGGTTCCATCAAATTGTACACGTTCTTCTCTCTTTTAAAAATTAAATTACTTACTCAAAGGACATTAAAATATAATTAATATTTAATATCAATTATATTCTAAGACCTATTAAATTCAAAACAAAGGATAAGAATTTCAAGTAAACGCATTATTATAATTTCTATCAGTTCTAAACCGCAAATCCACTCATAAATAAACAGCGTTAAAAATTTAACTTTATTTGATTATCTAAGTAGTTATATGTTACAAAATATCATATTAGAACATAATAATTATATTATTTAACTCTATTTCTATAAAAAAAAGTACTCTATTGTAAGCCCATTGCTATATCTATGTTAAAGTATATATCACTGCTGACATAGTAAACCAAATGACAACAGTAAATTATGTGGGTTTAAAACTAAAATGTTTTTAATTAGTAACTTCATTTTGTGTGAGATTAAAAACACGTAACACTTTATTAGAAGAAAAAAATGTAATACAGTAAAATTGTATTATTATATTATTTCACAAAATTAATTTTAACGTTAAGCAAAATTAATAAAATAAGTGACTTAAGCATTATGGAACTATTAATATTTTTTTATCACATCTATATGTATATTCATATCGATCGTATTAAAGAGCAAGTACATTAAGTATATGTCTTTTAGATTAATAAAAATACTTTTATTTGTTTAATAAAATGTGTTTCACTCGAATTTTTACAGTAGATTGGTATCTGGGTATGTTAAGCTTTTTTTAAGAATTTATTTTACTTTTAATTTCTAATAATACAATAAAAAATTATTTATATAAAATAATTTGACACATGAATAATAAGTAATTTTTATTTTCATTAATAATAAATTAACATATTTATCAAGTGTTTTTCATCGTAACTTTTAATTAAAATTTCATTATTTATCCCGAAACTGGTACAATGCGGTATCACACACTGTTGCATTATATTTGGATATACCTCTGTAGGTATTTATTTTATTTTATTTATTAATTTTATGTCTGTAATTTTGATATCCAAATATTTATATAACTAAATAGGTCTAAATATCGTTATCGAATAATGGGGTTGTATCACCGCTCTGTACCAGCAACGTTGTATTTTTTCACTGTATTAATTACGGGTTAAGATTATTGTATACCCTCTAAATATTTTACCGAATGTCCGTCTAGAGTTACAAATAATTTTTATTCAGAGAATAAAAAATGTTTTTCATTTTTCAAATAAATAATTTATACCTAATAGAGTTACTAATCTGTCAAATTAAATGAAGTAAGAAATATAAGAATTTTCTTTAATAGACACCTCTAAATAAATCATTCATAACCAAAAACAAAATATTTGACATGATATATTTATTTTCTTACGTTTGGCAATAACACAGAGTGTTTGAAATAAACACAATAATATTTTATTGGATAATTTTACTCTGAAATAATAATAAACGCAAATGTTCATGAACAATAATATGTTCTAAAGATAATAAAAATAAAGCTTTTTAATACAAAGTATGAAATCTGATTACAACTTAAATTTGTATCTACTGTACTAACGTAATAATTTTTATTGCATAATCATTATTGTATTATATTTTTATGGTCGTTATTACATACATATAATAAATAATACATAATTACATAATTACATAAATCATATGTATTGCAAATGAAATATCTGCGGATATTTAATATGCGTCCAACTGGCCAACTCACATCTTATCGGAAATATTTTAACTGATTTTGAATGCAATTTTGACGCTCATACTGAAATTAGCCTCATAGTAACATTAGTTCAACATTTTGGAATAAATTTGTATTAGTGTTTAGTGGACCCTATACACATATTCACAATCTGCGGATAAGATGACTAGTATACAGTGAGACATACTTGTCCCACGAATGTTCGTAATTTTGTCAAAAAATACCTAAATAATAAATAATGAGCAAAAAAAAGCCTTAACAAATTTGAGGAAATTTTTGCTAACCAAACGATTAGTAAGGAGGCATTACAAAATATTCTTGTTTTTTGTGCTTGAAGGATAACAGAGTTAAACAAGATCACTAGGCAAAAAAAAATGGCAGAAAACACGATTGTTGGTTAAAGTAATGACATCTGTGAAATTTTAGTCGAACAAAAAAAAAATTATTTTATTTCCACTCATTAGCTACGCGGTATTTTAGTTCGGGTTGATTTTTCACTATTATATAAATTCCAGGAGTTACTTCTGAAAAATTGAAAACTGGAATTATGGATAGTCCTAAAATCAGATTGGTTATAAATGATTCTAGTTTTTTTTTAGTCTAAGAATTTAACGCAGTGAAAAACATGGGAAACATTCATTCAAATCATTAATAAAATGTTGGGAACACATTGAGTATAAAATAACTGTACATTGGTAGAAATTTTTTTGTCATAATTTTATCACGTATATTTTGGATTTTTAGAAATTAGCAGTTTATTTAGTCATCTTAATAACTAGAAATTATAGAACTAATCTGAGGTCAGATTCGTAATCAGCGTCAACATTTTCAAAGTTAAATTATTACTGGCATTAAAAATGGTTATTTTATTTTATATTCACTGATAATATAATTTGCTATTTACTTTGAATTTTATTTAAAATTAATTCGTTAAGTTTCTTTTGTTTTTCTTTGTTTTCTTTCGTCTCGAGATCAATTCTTATTTACTTTCAAAATTTGTTGTACTATTTCTACATACTAATCTTTTAAAAATAATAGCAGTAATAAGAGATAATTGTCGAGCTATAATAATATTGTGTATTGAAAGTTATAAATATAATAATTATTTTTACTTAAAATAAATAAAATTTAAGAATTGACAAAAAAAATCTTGATAATTAAAAATAATATTATTTAGTATAACTCTAAAAACATATTGAAACTTTTACGAATCAATATAATCAAGTATTTACTTTTTAAACATTTACAACAGTTTTTATTAAAAAAAACTTGTTTTAATTGATGATACTTGTATACTTGTATATTTCATTGGATAATATTTGATTAAGTTAGTCTCCTGCTATTGTCTTTTTGATCCATACGTCATTTTATTTTATCATACTACATACAGTGAGTATTGTTTTGATGGATAGACTTTATATGAACGGAGGAACAAATTGGCTTTATAGCTAGAATCTGGCATCGTAAAAAGTCAACTGAATTCACTACTGGCCACCTGTGGTGCATTAACTACCCATATCGACAATCTCACTTCGCCTTTCGTCATTCGAAAGACCAAAACAATAATTTATTTAATTAAAAGTAAGCAAGCTTAAAAATCTTTTTTAATAAAAAATAAAACCATATTATTTTTTAATTCATT